GGTTCCTCCTCAGGCCCTCAGAGGTTCCTCCTCAGGCCCTCAGTGGTTCCTCCTCAGGCCCTCAGAGGTTCCTCCTCAGGCCCTGTGGCCCCTCAGCTCGTCAGGTCGAGCAGCGAAGCCTCTGTGACGTCCCTCGGTTCTGTCGCTGTTCGGTTGTGAATCCACTCCAGGTAGTTGGACACTCGTGTGTAGATGCCATAGTAACCTGGTCGGGCGCAGCCCTTCCCCCAGCTGACGATCCCCAGTAGGAACGTTGTCTTCTTGTACTGCGTCACCAGGGGCCCGCCGCTGTCGCCTTTACATGAGTCCTGCTGACCCTCGGTGTATCCAGCGCAGAACATGTTTTGTGTGAGGACCACGCCGCTCACCTCCATGCACTGCTGCGTCCGGATCCGTGGCACTTTCAGGCGCCGCAGGATGTGCGAGGTAGGCCCCATCTCACCCCTCCGTCCCCAGCCGCTCACAGTGTGCAGGCTGATGGCCCAGAGGTCACGCTCGGCCAGCGGGCGCGTGGGCAGGCAGGCCGGGACGGCATATGGTGTGTAGATGATGGGCGATTCCAGGCGAAGCAGGGCGATGTCGTTGTCAGCCGTCTCCATGACGTATTTCTCGTGCATGATGATCTCGACCACCTGGATGAACTGTTCCGTGTTCTCAGCCACCTCTGTGTTGTGTTCGCCTGTCAGACAAAGAGCAGGGTCAACAAACCAAATCCCTCCTGAAGTGTGTTGAGACAATAGAACATCCACGTGTTTCTTTATCGAGGGATTCGTACCTACAACCACCTTTAGGAACCGGACGTCGATGTTGTCCATACAGTGAGAGGCTGTGAGGATCCACGTGGGTTTGTAGATCACTCCTCCACAGAAACCTTTGGAGTTGTACATCAGCAAAACCTGCAAAACATACGCTCCATTTTAATTTGACTCAGAACTAACATTTGACATGAAACCATGAAATCAAACCTTTCTGTTTCTTGTGGGCCTTTATATATTTATCCAAAGAACACACATTTCTTATCTTTGGAGTTTTTACTCTAGAATCTGTCCAAGGTTAAAGTAACTTGAGGACCCTGCTCTGGTTTATCTGCAGTGAAACATGAGCAGTGAATGTGGAGCGTACCTGCCAGGGACATTCACCTTTGGGACACTCTGTCCCTCCAACGATTCGAGATCGAGGGTCCAGCGGCTTTTTGTTTTCGCCCTGAAGGACGGGAACCATGCCGCACGCTAGTGACCCTGAATCAAGAGAAAGTGTCATATTCTCAGGTTGAACAAATATGACACAGATTTGTCTTCAAACTTTATCAGGAAACAGTTTTTAAATTTGAATATGAAAGTGTTTTCTGCTGTGGCGTCCCACAGGGATCATGCTTAAACCACTTATGTTGGTTTTGTAAATCTGGTGAAGTTTAGGAAACATGTTTTTTTTTCACTCTTTCTTGACAAACAAGACAGAGAGTGTGTGAGACGTCTGATAGACGTTCAGATTTAAGCATGTCTTTGTCTTTTTGTGTATTAACATGAATCCTCTTTGGATCCTGAAGCTTGTTTTTACAAGTTATTATTACGTGAATGACGCAAATGCACCTTTTGCTATGCAGCTCCGCCCATCGACATCCAGGAAGTAATCATCTGCACAAGAGCAGTTTAATCTTCGTCCTTCCTCGTCATCATCACAGAAATGTTCACAGCCTCCGTTCTCCAGCAGGCAGGTGTTGGAGAAGGCCAGGGTCTCTTAAATATTAATTTAATCGTCATTCACCACAAAACATGAATATAAATTAAAGTTAATATAAATACTGAAAATAAAATATTCCAATAATGTAACGATAGATTTAGTGCCAGGGTTTTGAGCAGTGTCTGAGTTTGTCACAAAATTATCTGAGTCATCTGCATAGAAGAGAAGCAACTGATTAAAAAGTCGACTAACAGAAACATATAACTAGAAAATAAAACAGGATCCATAACTGAGCCCTGCGGCACTCCACAACTCCACAGCTCCACAACTCCACAACTCCACAGCTCCACATATTCATGTTCACAGAAAATTGTGACATTTTCACATTGAGTTTTTTTTTTATCCTTCGCTGTTTTGGTTTAATAAGTTAAAAAAATTGGAAACCACAACACTCAACTCTGGTTGGTCCATCAAATCGTATTGATCAGTAATCAGCTCAAAGAGGTTTTGTAATTTTCTCACCGAGTTCACAGTTGAGTCCGCTGAATTGTGGTAAACAGAAGCAGGCGTAGGATGAACCCAGTCCAGAGCAGCTGCCACCGTTCAGACACGGGTCGGACTTACAGCTGTCAGGGACTAAACAACACAACAAGGTCAAAACCATTGTTTAACGTCAGTCTGAAGTTGAACTCATCAATCATCGGATTAGGAACCTAGATCTACCTCTTGTACTTTGTCATGAACCTTTAACCTTTATTCGTACAGATTTTTAAAGTGCAGGTTTGTCGAGATGGTCGCTCAGGACAGAGTTGGAACTAGCATTAGCCTCGTTTAGCTGCTAGCTTGACGCTGACTTTATTCTAAAATGAAAGTGAGTGGGATTAAATGAGCGAGTACTTACTGTTGTACTTCTTCCAAAACTCGTCCTGAAGAAACAAAAAGACATAGATGTCAATTTTATAAATTGTCGTCAATCGGTGTGGAGTGTTTCTACTGAAGTTCATGTTTGTGCGGGTCGCACCGTGGTCTCCGTGTGTTCGAACACCTCCCGCGCCTCCTCGTACGAACATTTTTCCTCCAGACACTCTCGCTTCAGATCTCCCATCTGCAGCTCCTCGAACCAGCCCGAGTTAAACCTGCGAGTTCGCACCAGGACGCCATGCGCTCGATCTGGATCCAGAAAAACTAACAGACAAAAAGTCAAGAGTTGTGACGATGCATCTGTGGTGATCGACTGATTCTTTCTCCAGCGCCACCATGAGGTTGACGTAAAATTTGGTAACAACATTTGTGCTTCCTAGAGGTTGAATCCTAACGACTTTGATTGTATTGATTGTATTAATATGCTGATGTTAAGGGGGGTTGGGTTATTTCTAACAGATACTTATTGTGTGAATGTCCAAGTTTTAGTTTCGTCCAGGAAAAGCGTTGAATGGAAACACCTATTCTTTGTCCCCAGAGGATCATGTACAATGATCATTTTGACCCAGATCATAGCTTTTATTTCTTTATGATCAAATATATATCTATAATATCTGAAAATTAACGACAATCTCATCAATCTTTGGACTCATTAAGCTAATATGCAAAAATTAGATAGCCACCAATCAGAACATGTTAGCATGCTAATGCTAGCATAGCAAATGCGACCTCATCGAGTTGCTGCAGCGATGTTATTCGTGTTATCGTGTTGAATGAAGGTGCAGAGGGTTTGCTCACCTGACGCCGCCCGGCAGCCGCTGAAGCTGACGATCAGGGTGAAGACGACGCTCAGCTTCATCGCTGGTGTCGTCAGAAAGTTGGTGCTTGTTGTTTCTCTGTCGACCCACAGGTGCAAAGTCTGATTCCCCCCCCCCACAGTCCCTGCAGCCGCCCACATGTTGGGAACATCCTGTGTGACACAATGACGCTGATCAGTAATCATCTTCAGTCCAGAGCAGAACTACAAGTCGGAGAAATCCGACTAATCATCTCGTTCAAATGTTTGTGTATGAACCTTTGTTATGTAACAAAGCAACAGGGCGATTGTTG